TAGGTCTAGATTGGCATAAAAGCATTAAAATAATAATTTCTATATCACTGTCTGTTATTATTTTCATATTTTGCCAAATTAATGTAAATGTTTGATGTTAAACTTTGATTCTGAAAATAAATGACTCCATTCATTTGATGGGTCAAAGGTAATAACGTCTCTCGTTACATTTCTGTTAAATTCAATGCACGACATTACAGTCAGAAAAATGAAGAACTCGTGAAAAGTATGCATAAATATATACCCACATATATTTGTCATACAACAAGTGACACGTACCCACGTGACTCACTACAACATGCACCTCTTTTGAATACAATGTCGTGTTTTTGTGTTGCATAAAACCTTTTGTTCAACAATGCTTTAGGAATTTAGAACAGCTTCTGCAAACTGCAAATTAAAAGTAATATTTGTTCCACATTCCTTATCGATGATGGAGTTCAGCAGCTGAACAAAATTACTGCATTCTGAGGAGGGGTGGGGGTTAAAGAGTGTCCTAAATTTATGGGAAATTAGGTTTTACTTGCAGTTGTATTTTTTCCTATAGAACTGGTAGGAACCCTCTTCTGTTAGTCAGAGCTCTTTGCTTGTTAAACAAATTTGAAACGTAAGTAAATGCTAATATGCTAAACATGTTGAGGTTGAATCATAAACCAATCTGAACTGTTTAAAACAAACCCTAACCTACATGTATGTTAAAACTAATAATAATAATCTGCAGCTTGGCTCTCAAACATTTTGTTCTCATTGAACTTAGTCTTCTTTTTTCTCCATCCCTCCAACAGATCACATACTCAGCCCCTTTTTAACCACACTCATCTAGAAAAAGTTGACGTTTCCCAGTGCTTACATTGTAAAATAATTTAGTTGTAACAATCAAAAAGACATTGTGGTGCAACATTTTGTGAAACGGGTTCATCAGAATCCCCTGCCTAGTTTAAATGCATCTCCCAAGATCCCATTTCAGCACACAGACCACAGTTTTGTGATCAGATGTGTTTATATAATGTAATTCTCGACCAGAGCTTCCCATGTCTTGGGTTTTGCACATTAGCATGAGTTGTTTTTATATGGTCAAATGAAAAAAAAAAGGTATGAAGAGTTTTGTATCTAGGCTTCCAACCACTTTTTGGTAGATTTTTTAAATATTTTTTTATGTTTTGCGTGTAAAGTGTCAAATTAAATTCTAGAATTTAAACTGAGGTCCCCCCCACAGAAAGGAATGTATCGTGGGGCTGCAGCATGGTAGTCCCAGAACAATACAGATTTTTTTGGGAGCTGTGATTATTCTGCCAGTCTCTAGATGCCAAGTAAATTAAGATGGAGGTTTTATTTTCACTTCATAAATAAACTCACAATTTGTAGCCAAACAACAGAACAGAGCTGCCTCCTCTCACAACATTCAGACCTCGGCTAATTCAGACCATAATGTGTGCCCTGTGTCCCAATGTGCCTTAACCCCACCGCCCTAATCTCCTGACCCTTCAACCCCTGCTGTCTTGACCTCTGGACTTAACAAGCAAGCTTTTCTTTCCTTCTGTCCTCCTCAGCTAACAAACGCCACCTAAAAGCACAACCATGGAGTCTTCTCCACTTCAAGCTGCTTTCCTGTCTCCATCACTCTGATTACCCTAGCAGTCAAAGCAAACACATTTTCAAGATTAATTCATCATAATTTTCTCTGTACGTGTGTGTTTCCTTAGTTTTTGTTACCTTTAGGATCTATTTCTTCATGCCTACCCCTTCCTGCCCAGTGGTCCTTATGGGGACCAAGCTCAGTGGAACTTCATTTTTAGGTTAGGCGTTAGGTTTAGGGCTAAACTTGTGTTTCTAGACTTGTGTCTAGGTTAGGGTAAGACATGTCTTAGTAATGGTTAACGTGAGTGTCAGGGTTAGACTACAGAAATGAATGGAAGACAACAGAAGGTCCTAATAAGGATAGAAATATGAGTTTGTGTGTGTTGCAGGTCAGCTTCCTCCAGAAGACAGCCTCTTTGCTGCAGGAAGACCTGGATGCCTGCCGCAGCAGGAGGTTGGTATGATTGTTTGGACCGAACACGTTTGCAGTACAAAAGAAATCACAAAGGAGCCTTCAGAGTTCCTTTAAATTAAGAGATTCTGTCATGATTCAGAGGTCTGAGATGCCATTATAAAACAGTTATCACACTTCTAATTTACACCTAAGCATATTGTCTCTCAGACCTAAAAAAAAAAGAAGAAGTAATATTTAAACTGCAGTAGAAAACCGTTTTCATTCAATAATTAAATTTTGTGCAGTTAAAATACTGACTGCAGTGACATATAATTCTGATGTGATTCCACACATCAGGTACAGCCCAGGGGCTACCCCTACCCATCACTTCCTCATCCCCTCTGTTTCCTTCACCAACATGTCCATTCAGGTCTGCTCCGATCACGACTCTCTCCTCCCTGGGAATACTCTCTATCACTTCATCCAGATCTTTCCAAAATGTATCTTTCTACTCCTCATCACATCCAACCTGTGGAGCATAACCACTGACAACATTTAGCATCAGACCTTCTACTTCTACCTTCAGGCACATCACCCTATCTGACACTCTTTTCACCTCTAATACATTATTTTACATCTCCTCCTTCAGGACCACCCCTACTCCATTTCTCTTTCTATCCACACCATAAGAAAACAGTTTGAACCCTGCTCCAATGCTGCAAGCCTTGCTGCCCTTCCACTTGGTCTCTGGGACACATAAAACATCTACCTTCCTTCTCTGCATCATGTCAGCCAGCTCTCTACCTTTGCCTGTCATTGTCCCCACATTTAGAGTTGCAACCCTCAGTCTTACATTCTTCACTTTACTCTTCTCCCTCTGTCTCCTGACACGTTTCCCTCCTCGTGGTCTTTGACTAACAGTAGCACAATTTCCGCTGGCACCTTGTTTGTCAACAGCACCGGTGGTGGTCGTTTTTAACCCGGGCCTCAACCGATCCGGTATGGTTTCATTTTGATGGACTCGCATTATTGTTTTGGCAAAAGTGTTTTATATCGGATGCCCTTACTGACACAACCCTCACCATTTACCCGGGCTTGGGACCAGCACAAGAGATACACTGGCTTGTGCTCCCTAGTGGCTGGTTTCTCTCTGTTGTGTGCACGTCATAGAGAATCTGGGTCCCACGCTTCCTCACTTCAGAGTTCCTCCTTTTGTGTTCCTCAACAAGACATTATTGCCATTAAAAATAATAAATTTTTGACTATTTTAAATCAAAATTGAGTAATTAATGTCCATATTGCAATGCATTAAAATAGGTTATAACCTCACCCCATTTTTAAATGTTTTATCATAGTAATATTATTTAATTTTGATGGATCTGTTGGTTTCTGTTTACAGGTAACAACAGGCTGACTCCCAACCACAACATGAAGGACAAAGTCTCCCGTCATATGTGAGCATCACTCACTGTTACCGTTGTTAAAACTGTCATTCATGTGTTCTCATCTTGAACTCTTTGTTGTGTTGATCTCATTAACTCGTCACTGATTTTGTATTTGATCTAGCATGTTTTTTACAGAACTGTCTTTTTTTTTAATAAACATCTTTGCATCACTTTTTTCTACTGTTGTGCCTTTTTTTTCCACCCATTCTAGGCATGTTTTTTCATTGTCTTGAATTACTTCATGGTTAAACCTTAAACTCGAAGGATTTTATCTCATTATCAATATGTATGTTAGCCAAGATTAGCCTGGAAGCAAAGCAGGAGACCTTGAATTCTCATCTCCCCTTGTCGTCATTATACACCACTTCTCTGTCATTTGAACTGTAGAGAGCAGCTGAAGGTTGGTGGTTGGTTCTGATAAAGAGTGCGGAGTGGCTGACTTCCTGTTGAGCTTGGATCAGTTCAGGAATTAAACATAAATACTGATCATTTTTGGGAGTTCTTGACTAAACCTTTGAGGTCTTATTTTTTCCCTAAATCTTTTTTGTTTTCAGAGGCTGCCGCACTTATTTGCATTGCTTTCTTTTCTACGCCCCCATCTCACGTGTTCCCATTGTCCGTGACCTGCCCTGCCGTCTCCAAACGAAACACGATGCTCCCCTCTGTGTTTATTTGGCGTGCTGATTTCTGCTGCCCGTGCAGAAAAACAAGAAGGAGAAAAAGAATAGAAACGGAGAAAGAGGAGACTGGGAGACCAACATCTGAGAAACAGGAATGTAGTCGATCAGCACAAAGCTTTTATTTAGCCTGTTGTTTCTGGAAGAGCTGCAGGGCATCCATTACTATTGCATCCAAGGTGCATGCTCATTTGTCTACATCTAAAGACGTACATATAATGTTTTTTTGTTCCATATCTGTGATCATGTGCTAATAACCTCTGTTTGGTCTAATCAAACTTGTTTGTGCAGCACCTTGTAAAAATAGAGAAGTGCTTTAAATATCACTGTGCAATGCCTGAACACTTATTCCATTGTAAAAGTTGCTTCATGATTGTAAGAGATTGGAGATGAGGTACTAATGTCTCTTCACTGGGCGGCTGTGGATGAGTGGGTAGAGCAGTCGTCCTCCATTGCAAGAGTTAGGGGTTCGAATCCACCAGCAGTCACATGCCCAAGTGTCCCTGGGCAAGACAGTGAACCCCTCATTGCCTTCAGTGTGTGTCCCATCAGTGTATGAATGTGATAAAGCTCTGATTATTCTCTGTATATAGTAGAGTTCTGTATGAATGGGTAAATGAGGGCACAGACTGTAGTGTAAGCGCATTGAGTGTCTTGATAAAATAGAAAGGTGTTATATAAGTGCAGTCCATTTATCATTCATTCCCTGCTACTACTAATGTTACAGATGCTGGAACTAGTTGTGCTTTTACTTTACGAATAAATGGTTGAAAACGCCTAAAGTGATCATTCACATCCTTTGAAGTGGGGTACCGTTGACAATTTACAAATGCCTAATGTCTTACCTGTTGCAGATAGCGCTTTGAATCAGCTCCGTTTGGAGAAAGAGTTTAATTCTGAGCAGATTGACGAGCTAACAGCTAGTCTGATCCAGATCAAGACCAAAGTGGGTCACAGACGTCTTGAAAACAACTCGAATCGCCAAGACTTTATTACAGTTCATGCAGACGCTACACCACCATCAATTTTCATTACACAGCCATTCTGATAGGAATAATGCATTTCTGATGGAAATGCCTACAGCTGCACAGGAAGTGCTACTGCTATCTGCTGCTGCTGCTATTTTGAGCATGCAAATACTCATTGAATTCTATGGAAATACTAAGTTGATGGTGTTTAGGGGTGGGAATCTTTAAGCACCTCATAATTTGATCCTGGTTCTTCTGAGGATTGCGATGCGATTACTAAACAATTTTTGATGCACTTGGATTATTTCAAGTTCAAGGTTCTTTATTGTCATTTGCATCACATGTGGTACATGAGGTGGAATGAAATTGTGTACACAGAGTCCCAGTTACATCCAACAATCAGAAGAATATAAATTGTAAAAGAAACAGTAATAAGGATCTAAGATGTAAACTAAGAAATATGATAAACTAAGAATACAATGAAACAAAAAACAATACACCGAACAACAGCAGCACGAACGAGTCTGTGTGAACACATGAGTACGAATGAATACAGCAGCGTAAAATAATCAGCAGCATGAGATCAGCAGCATAGATAGTCAGCAGCGCATATCATCAATCAAAGTGGCATTACGGTGATTTTTTTTTTTTTTCCACAGGGATTATCCTAGGGATAAACACGGATCAAAAAAAAGTATTGTCCAATGAAAAGTGCACAGTAACACGTCAGAGCAAGTTGTTACTCACAGGCTGCTGACCAACGGTAGCACAGATGCTAATCTGACAATGAAAAAGCCAACGTGGTTGGCATCACTGAAAATGGTACAGATCAAATGTTTCAGTCGAGACAATCACGTTGTGATAACTTCATACAGCAGCTGCTCTTGTGGCTGACCGAAAATGACATCGCAGATTAACAAAATTGAGTTTTGACATTTCAAGATGGACTCAAAATCCACATCCACAGTGCAATACCTATTGATAGATCTTATCTCCCCGTGCGGTGATGTAAAGGTTTGGAAAATGGTGTTCACGTGCACTGCTTTGAGATTTTGAAGATCTGACTAAAGAGAACAGCAGTAATCCACTCAGATTAGCCAGTACCTCGTCAGTCCGGTCTGAATTTAACACAGAATTGAGGTCTTTCAGCAGGTAAGATATTAATTGTTCCAAACCTTTCCACTGAACCACTTTTCAGAAGATCTGAACTCCAATTCAAGGAGACGATGCTCACCAACATTGTGTACAAACACGGCTCAATAGTGACGTAGTTCAGGAGCTAAAATGGCTCCTCTGATGTTGGACAATAAGAGCAGCACTTTGTTAGACGCTTGACAGTTGCTGATACTGGAGATCTAATGGCGTTTCCTTGGCTTATTAACCAGACTTCTGTTTCACTCATTGACACCAAACAGGATTCAGACATAACCTCTCCTTTAATCTGTGTTATTGCTCTGACATAGTTTCACTCTAATTGATTGTCTACCACCAGAATTGCCTCCATAATTGTGCTCGTGTAAATACAAAGCACGGATGTCACTTCCACAGAGCCGACAGGGCCCCATTAAGGATCAAAGCCGTTGCTTCCTCTCGGTTATCTCCACATCAGACAGTGGACTGTTGTGTGACAACAGTAAAGGGCGGTCAGGGAGCTCCAGAAAGGTTTCATCCAAGCACCGCTCACAGCTGCTCACTTGCATACAGGCAGCTGAAATTTAAGTGGGGTTTTTTTTTTTACATGCTTGCTTCAGCTGGATGCTGCTGTTGCATTTTTAGCATTATTTGAGGACACAAATTTAGATTTGAGGGCATTCTCCGCTCTTACAAGATTTGCACTTGTGACGAGTGCTTCTCTCCCCTGACAGCCTCCTGGGCTTGACTGTACATCAGCTTGTGATTGACAAAGTCATCGTTTGCTTGAGCACGCCGCATCTTTTTATAGAGCCGTGTTCTGAGTCAGACCCAAGCTGCAGCGCTCGG